CTAAGTACATATCATATCTTATTAAAGTATAAACCCTGTGTTACTTATAGCTTTATAATATATATATACGACTGACTTTGTAAACAGTACATGCATTGTATCAGTATAAATAAATGGGAATATTTTGCTGGAACACGCGGAGGTACTCAACACAGGCTAGAGCCATAAATAAGCGAAGCAATCAGTCGACGGCGGCACGTACTGGGGTGCACGTTCAAATGCTGCCTGTTACCAGTTACCATATCTATACTAGCGTCTTACACAATTCCGAGGATCACCTAATTAGATGTGCTACTGCGATTCGCCGCTAGTCTAGTTACTGCTGAAATAGCATTGCAGGGTTGCCGATCTTAAATTATTTGGCCTCGTAAAAAGAAGTAAAACCATCTCATTTATTAATTTAATTGGCTTAATAAATATGTATTTCTCTTATCATTGTACTCTAAGCGACTTCTACAGGTGAAAAAATCACAAATTAATACATACTTTTACAACGATCAGAGAGTCCTCTTACCAAAGCGCAAAAATCTCAACGTGTACGTGAATTCTCTTACGATTGGCATCCCTGTAGCTCGATTATATGTTACTACAGTTTTAGTTTTTACTGCATGGATGCGAAACATGCAAGGTCGTTGCGTCTCTTTTTGCTGCACTATGATAATTCGCTACATAATATATATTTTATAAATGTCAAAAAAACAATAGACGGGTACTGATGTAGTGTAATTTTCTGTTTGAAAAAGAATATAAAGTTGCTCAATAGAGAAATGATAGTTCCGTAAATAAGACCGTTTTCTTTTCAGTAAAAGTCTTCTCAGTAGGTATAAGGTAATCGTGTCATACCGCCTATATATTGTATAAAAATGAGAACATTAAGTTTCAGAAATACCTTCATTTTGACATAGTTTAATTTGAGGTAAACCTATTTAGACTACACTGTTTTTAACACATTCATACAGTACAAACCTCTGAGTACATATATTGGATGCTAAAATATATTTTCACTTTTACTACAATATATTTTTTAGATGTATCTTGAGACAAGTGCGCTCAGTAGAGTAAGTGTACCCGTTAGTAGAACAACTATATTTATATATACGTTGTTTTCTTAAGTACTTTGGTTCTAATAGGCGTCTTCGTAAGATTGATTCAACAATTTACGATCAATAGGTCACCTGCCAAAATCTTGACGATCCGTCTATTGTTTGAGTTCAGCAACCTTTTACTTGATTCATTTGCATCGGAGAAATTCGTTATCATCTCAAATATGGTGCATGTAATTATATTTTTTATCTTGATCGTGTGATAACCAGATAGCAATGTTTAACATAGCAGATAGTTTACAGTTTTTTGTTATCAGACAACATTTTTGATAATGTAACTGATTTTATTTGGTCTTATAAGACCTAGTTATATGGCCAAATATTAGAGATAAGACTAATGATGAGTAACAAAAGGTAACAGTAAGAATTTGAAAATTCATAACGGTTACTACGTCCCGTAAATCTACATTCCTAAATAACATTTAGTCGTATTAAAAGAAAGTACAATGTTTGTTGTAATTCAAGTTATAATATAGTACTCTATAGGAATACCAAGAATAAGGTAAGATTGGAACTGTTTTGTGATGTTAAGTGTTTATGTTTAGATATAGGAGTCTTTTGCCACTTTCCATTATGTGGTTCAACATATTGTTTGCTATTCTAGCCACATTCGGGATAAACCCTCCCTATATTTCTACTGAGTCTCGTCTGTAGTCATGATTTATAGTAGCAAACATACTGAAAGCAACAAGCGGTAAGATCTGTCCTTTATCCTCTTCATTTAATCATTACTAAGACTATAAGAGGGCAAATAGTAAATCCAGTTGTTTATAAAATATTACATTCAAGGAACACTATAATTTAGAGCAAGTACATATATATTAACCATGTGGTTTTTTTGTTCTAACATATGTTAAAATAATGACATATATTTAGAGGTAACTGTTGCTCAATTTTCGGCATTTGCGTTTCTACGTATAATAGATTTACGAGTATAAGTATGATAGTTAAAACAAAGGCAAATATTACAGTTCACCCAAATGTGCACTAGCTGTATAATTGGCTGCAGGCACTTAAGGCGGGTTTTAAATAAAATATACGCCAGATTACCAATGATAATGAATATTCATGCCCTATTTATGTTATATTATGAATAAGAAGAATACGCTTACGATATTATAATAATAATATTATAAGATGCGGCGTCCAATAACGATAACGGTTTTGTATATTTGCATCATGTCTTTTGTTATATTTATATATGCATTTTTTATTATTATTATTTATTTTACAGTCGCTAGTTTTATTATACTCGCTGCTATTATAATTTAAATTTTTAATAAACAAATAGGTAATAATATTGACGAACTCGGCGGTCTAGTGGTTTAGCACACCGCCTTACTTCCGATGGTCGCGAGTTCGATCCCTCGCACGGCACAAAAATTTCTGATTATGATTGTTTGTATCGGTCTGGGTGTTTCTATGTATAATATAGTATTTAAGACAAAAAATGTATCTATGTATTTGTATCAATTATCTAGTACCCATAACACAAGCTATAGCTAGCTTAACTTGGGTCTAGATGGCGAATTGTCCTGAGATATAATTATTTATTTATAATATATTATTTTAAAAGACGAGAGTAAATGAATATATAAAATATAAGAACAACATCGCGGAATGTTACAATTGTCTTAAAATACTGTAGAGAAACTTTGATACCTAACATCGATTTCCTTTCTCAATAATCTATACGTAGATCTATTATTCGGCTTGACCAAAGTACCGATATACATACATTGTATGTAGCATTAAAAAAATAAAACAATTTTCGATTATTTACTTAATTGTTGTTATTAGGTATATAAATGGAGCTCATAAATAGTATTACTTTATATAATTAATAAGGTTAATTATATAAAGTAATACTATAGTAAATAAAGCCTAAACTCAGATATCTGTGTTAGGATCAGGATACTACAAGTATCATATGGCGACCATTCAAATTCATCCTACTATGTCTTTTTAGAAGAAATAGTTTTTCCAGATTTTCTTCTGACTAGTTTAATTTAATGTGAGTATTGTTAGTATTCAATCTAAAATATTATTTTTCATAGTACAGTAGCAATTATTAAATATTAAATACGTCGATAGCTTTTATAGTACCGGTATCGTCTTTAAATTAATAATGTGTATTCAATAAACATGACCTATTGTATTGTAGTGCGATACGGTGTAAAGATTCAATTACGAGATATCTTCAAACAATACCATATTTGTATGTGATGCAGCAACGTCTCTTTGTTTACGCACGAATATCCACAGACAGACTTGAAACAAAAATGCTGACAGTGTTTGCACTCATTTTGTTTTAATTGTATGCAACCGAGGTCATTCGTGAATGTCGTACAATCGTGATCAGGGATTCGAAAATATCATGCTTGGCTATGAATTCGTAAAGTTAAGCTTATATAATTTGCGGGCACGGCTATTATTTCGTTGAAATTTGATTTTTAGGTACAGGTGTTAACTTACGTACTTGTTGAACATCATGTAAATAGTTTACATTAGAAAATATTACATGTAACATGTACTATGTGCATGTTAAATAATTACAAGTATGATAAAATATTACGTGTATATAAATATTACGAGGATCAAAGGAAAAGAAATAATGTCAAAGAGGAAATTGGTCCAATAAATTATATTAATGTGCAAAGAGTATAATTTTTAAAAGCAAAATTATTTATTATTACCCATAAATTAAATAAACATTTGTATAGGGAAACTGTTGTTCTACTTTCAGTGAAAGTACCTAACAAACTCTTCCAAGTATTGTAGTACCATATTGTGAACTTTGGTTCAACAATTAACTTGGAAATGTCGAGAAACTGCGAGAATGACTGGCCCTTTTGAACGGGACCCAGGAATAACGGGCCGCAGCCCCAGGCGTTATGCTAATGCATCGGCTCTCCGCGAATACCGGCAACTCGACGCCTGCGCTGCCTCCGGTGCTACTAACCCACATCTCGGTCATACCATGATGCGACTGTTTGTGGTCAACACGTTCCCAAACACGCTCGTTATACTTTCATATTGATCGACGAAAGTTCAGAATGACCGTAAGTAGGAAGGCAAATAGGAAGTAGGCGTATGACCATTAGACAAGCTGTTGTTGAAATATTGGTCTTATTTGCGCCATTCCGTGTGCTGTTTCATATCTACCTAGGTTTTTTTAATAAGTATATATATTCAAATAATAGGTACGGTAATCAATAGAGAAAGAAAATGACCGATTAACTTAGATTGTAATGACTCATGCAATTTAAAACCCAACCTTTGACAGGTTAGGTTTTCAATTGTATGAGTTGGGGATAATTTAGTACATTCCGATTTTTATTACAAAATGTATAAATATTCCAAAACTAACATCCATCCATTTTTTTAAAAATATAATTTAATCACTAATAAAATAAACATTGCAATCCTATTATTCTTTATATAATTAAATTGTAAATAATAAATAATAAATACTGTTCATTATTGCGCTCAATTAACATTTCCATTAGCAGCAGGTTTAATAGATTCATATAAATATGGCAATACAGCTACGTGCACTGTTATATAAACACTTTAGTTTTTTGTCGTAGTGACATTATTGACAATTCCAAACTTCTTTTAATTTATGTTTATTTACATATTAGTGATTGTGGCCGGTACAGACCTGTTTAATTAGCGTTAATAAGAAGAGAATTGAACGTTTCCGATTTTGCTTAATCATACGCCTTCAAGAACACTGTAACAGTGAAAGAGAACGGACAGTTAAGCTCTTGTGTACCATCTATATTGTGTGCAATTTAATTATTACAGTCTTGCAGCTTAATTACGTCAACTTCATTGTTATTTTTTGTTTCAGAATCGTTAAGACTGAAAGCGCCGATATATACTGCGCGGGCGCGCGTTATACGCGGTATGGCGGCAGACGTGGCAGGTGAGGACTTCGTCACTATAGTTCCGGTAGGCGAAGGTCGGCCTCTTGTGAACGACTCTACTTTTGTGACTGTACTTACGGTTGGAGCAGCTGCTGGTGCTTCTGAGGTGATAGTACGCCGACCTAAAGGAGAGCGTCTTGGCCTCGGACTTAAATTTGAAGGTGGTTCCGCTGCAGTCGAGAAAGTAAGAAGGCTTCTTGTGCAGTCATGTGCTGATAATAGTCCTGCTGCAAATGCTGGTACTCCTTGGGGTAAACTTATACCCGGTGACGAAATTTTAGCTATAGATGGAATATCTGTTTCAGATCTTACAAGAATTGACTGTGTTCGTCGATTAAAAGACTCTGATGAATCTTTATCACTTTTAGTAAGGCATTTTGAATTAGATGAGCAAACTACCAATAACATGGAAGCAGATACTATTTTGATTAATTCAAAACCTACCATAGATATGACAAGGCCAACAACATTACCGCCACCGGTTCCACCTCGAAAACTCGGCAAGAAAAATTCTTTTAAAGATAAACAGATTCTTCAAACTGTTGGTGAACAAAATACAGTTAATAATGAAGGACAAAAACAAGGCGATAAAGATATAATAATAAATAGCCAACACAACGGATACAGTACTATGACTAAATTATCAAGGAAGTCCTCTTTTGATAGTCATATCCATCGACAAAGTAAAGAGAGTATTGCATATTTAAAAAAAGGGTCGCCTGAAGAGGCAAGACGTTTAGTACGACGCCTATCTGATGGTAAAGCTATGCCACCAGAAGCCGAAGTTTACATAGATTTATTATCTACAGAATGGGAAAGATGTCTAGTATTCGGAGATGCAGAATCAGATGATACGGGTAGTTCCATATCGACGGTAGTTGATAGATTAGGTTCTATGACGAGTTCTGTAGAAAACAGTATTCCTTCTACACCAACGATGCAACCTAAAACAATTGATATACAAAAAGTATTAAATTGCATCGAAAATATTGATTCTAATATTTTAAAAGACATTACAAGTAACAGATTTCTAGAAAAACAAACAGATATAAATAAAGATGCAATTGTATTAGAAAAGACGTCTAATATTAATGGTTATCATTCATATGAGAAAACGACACAAATATCAGAGGAAACTATAACAGTCTCTAACAAACCACAACAAAATGATAATAATAATAACACTGCTTTTCAAAATATTTTGAATTTAGAAAGCAATCAGTCTAATATTCATACTAAAAGTGACTTAAAAATGGAGTCTGTTCTCGAGAAACCAAAGCCAATGCCAAGAAATACGAAAATTGAACGATCTGCGAGTGAAAAGAAACCTAAATCGATTTCGGTTCCAGATTGCCCTCCACCACCAGTGCCCGAGTCTTTATTAACTCCGACTAAAAAGAATTGTATTGAATCGTGGTTACAGAGATCAGAAGCTGAAATGAATAATGTTGATAAATCAGAGGAGACTATTGCACCGGAAGTGCTACCTAGGTTGATCGATTTTGTGCCTAAGCCACAATTTAAAGAATGTAATAACAATGACGTGACTCTAGTACGCCCGACTGCACCACCTCCTCCACCGCCCGTTGAGACACGTGAAGATGGTTCCGGAGCCTCTTTAGATACTATTGGTGAATTGGACGAGTCAAGCGACGTCACTGATAATGTGTAAGTATAACACTCTGTTTCTTACTCGTTTGTTTATTTATATATTCTTTGTTTATATATATATATATATTTATTAATATTACTATAATAATTATTTTCATGTTGACGACCTGTTACTTATAAAAATGTTACTATGTATTCTACACGGACCGGATCTGCTACGTACTTTCGTTCGTAATTGTACTTGTAGAAAAACATGTACGATGATTTCAAGTAGATTTTCATCAAGTAGGACATTAGTACTCTAGGGCGTGATCTGCTTTTGACGTAAAACATTATCGTAGTAAGTAACTACTAATTCAAGAACATTTTCATGATAGGTTTGCGCAAATAATATAATGAACAAAACATCATATTGCGATGAGGATACAATTCGATAAACAATGTTACGATCGAGTACTTCTAGCTTTAAAATTTACGACATAATTATTGACAGTGAAAGATTTGAAATAACTACTCTCACACTATCTCGGATGAGGTAGTCAGAGATATTACTTATAATACAGTAAGAGGAACGCCACTTGAGTATAGTTGTAGTGAACTTAACATTCGACTCGCATACACTTCGATGAATATATTCGTAGGTATTAGTACTCAACATTCCAAGGTTCGGATTAATTTGGATAATTTTCTTTTATTGGAGACAAGTTTGTCTTTTATTGGAGAAATAAACCACATAGATGCAGACTTTTGTGCATGGCGAAAGCATTTTATAATACATATAGTACTGTAGTACTGTCAACCTTTGTATCTGAAAGTACAGTTCTCGTTTTTCGACCAATACTGTTTAATTTAAGGAATAAATATACTTCATTAAAATTTAAATAGATATAATATTTTCTACTTTTCACAAAATTACTTTATATTGAGATGATTAACGCATTAGAAGTATTTTAATTTGACAGTTTAAAGTGGGTCTATCGAGTTGGGAGTGCAGCTATGAGTAGAGTGTCAAGCAAATATTGCTTTTTGAATACCAATTACATTTGACATAGAAAAAAAGGTGTACCTATTAATCTGTAAATATTATCTATTTATATAGGTAATATGTTTATATATTTCATAATATAAATTGTCATTACTAATTTTCTATATATTTTCAAACAACCAGTTTTGTAACTTGTGTTTTGGCTGAAAGGTGAGAAAAGTCAGTGAAATTATAATATTTGGTACCTCAAAATTCTATTATTTCACTGACTTTTCTTGGTGCTCCGGGAGGGCAACACATGACTGGTATCACGGGCGTCACATGATAACGTAATGTCCGTAGTGTCAGTCATTTGCTATTCCAGTTAGGTATATTAAAAAGGATCTAATACATTTGTTACAAACTAGCTGTGCCCGCGGTTTCACCCGCGTTAAATTTCAATACAAATTATAGCCTATGTGTTATTCTTATGCCATATTACTGCAAAGTATCATCAAAATCTATTCAGTAGTTTTTGCGTGAAAGACTAACAAACATCCATACTTACAAACTTTCGCGTTTATAATATTATTAAGATATATTTTTAATAATTGTACTACAATTTCCTTCACATGTCCAATTTATACGGCTGCCGTGAATTATTATAATATCATTAAGTATTTACAGTGATGTTTGCACCGGTGTAACCGGTTGAAAGCTCTTGTTTGCCAATCTACTGGAAAAACGCTTGCGGCTGGCCACAACTAATTTCTTCACCCGTCACTCCCCTCCATTTTCCACTAATTATCCATACTATTGTGAGCAAAGCGTTTTGCAGGTCGGTGGCTTCTTTACGTATAACGCTCTAATTATTGGTATTTACTTAAAAACGTGATTCCGTTACGAAAGTTTCATTGAAGTTTTGAAAACTCATTTTTCTATTAGAGCAATAATGTTTCCAAAATTGTTTAATAACATGTTATGATATCATGTTGCTTTAATTGATACGAAAGATAATTGTATGGTAGTTAGTGTGTAATAAAAGAAGAAAGTAGCTTTTCACCCTAGGGAAATAATCGCTGGTTGCAATTGAGAACATCCATTTATAACTTGTCGACTGAGTGGTTAGAAAATTAACATTTGATTTCCATTGGAAATGCATTTCAATGTTATTTCCCGTATAAAATTACATCTTGTCAGGTAGTTTTCTCAGTTAAGTAATTAGAACATTTTTCTAAAGAAAACTATAGTCTCTATTACATATTGTAATTACTACATTTTCATATATGTATGTCATCTACAATTATAGTACAATTTCAACGAAAACTAAGTATACGATAATTACAGTAGCTTAATTTCAACATCAATTATCAAGACTATCTAGGTACATTTATTATTATTAGGTAACTGTAACAAAGTGCATTTAAATTAATGAAAAGCAAAACATGTAACATCATTAGTCACATTTCTTGACACTTTGAGATATTGTATATGAACCACATATGTATACGTAGGTTTGTAATGTCTGTTTCATGCACACATGATGTAGAGTCATTTACGATGTTGATTTGAGATGTTATTTACGCAGCGCCATCTAGTCCCAAACTAAACAGAGCTTCTGTTATGCGTAGTATACTGCTACTGTGTGTAAATATTTTCATCATGCGAGAAATCGAACCTGCGACTATCGGAAGCCAGGCATTCTAAATTCTTAGACCAACGAGGCCGTCAATACTGTTAAATTAGGCTCAAATAATCTGTATTATAATATATTTTATGTATTAAATATTAGTGAGTGTGTGAATATGAAGCCTACCTACTTATGTAGTAATTCCGCGCATCGGTGCCATCTAGCCTTACTTGGATATTCATTGCAAGGGGTTAACTTCCCATTCAAGTTTAATACGAATTACGTCTGTTTAGGAGAATACTTGTGAATATAGTATAGGATCCCTGTGGGACTTAAGTTATTATTGTGTTCAGAGTAGGTTTGAGACTGCTTAATATTATTATCATAATAAAAGTTAATTTTGATTGCTTCTAGAAATCTGATATCATCCCTTTAATTTAATCAGTACACATATTCATAAAACAGTCACATTTCAAACTTTTTTATTTACTGCCTAATATTTACAAAAAAAATAAAATCGATGCTCTTTTATTAATCGCTTCAGATTCCTGCGACACTTTTGTAAATGACAATGATTAAATTTTATCATTCTAAGAATATGTTGCCATATTGGATTTAAACATATGCAGAGATATGGCAAGTATTAGTTGATCACGATGTCTACGATTAACAATATCTTTTGGTCACAAAGCAATGAACTTTCGATCAGTTATTAAAATAATAAATATTATTTTAATAATTGATCGCATGTATAGTTATATATATATATATATATAAAGTTCATAAACGATTTTCGAGTGTACCAAAAACTAGGTTTGTTTGTGTACATACGTAATATGAAATGTCATTGTTTCTTCTGTACAATACTTTTAACAGTCACATAGGAACAACAACTGTAAACAATGAAAAGAATATTTTATTCGGAATGGTGACACACATGGAAAGTTTTCTTTCTCTATTTTCATACGAACTAACGGGTACAATGGTGGGGTGGCAGCGGGCGGGGCGCGCCAGCCATCTGTGCCCCAGTCAGGCAAAGACTATGTCTACCTATTTGTAGTTGGCTGAAAATGCTTATTACAGGGTCGCAATATAAACGATATTATTTAAACAATTTTTCATATAATATAATATTTCAGGACAATTCACGGCACATGACAAAGCAGAGCTTGTGTTATGGGTACTAGACAACTGATATAAATACATGGATACATTTTTTTTTGTAAATAAATACATATTATACATAAACACCCAGACCGATACAAACAAACATACTCATGAATACAGATGTGTGTACCGTGCGAGGAATCAAACTCACGACCATCGGATAGTAAAGCGTTGTGCTAAACCACTAGACCACCGAGGCTGTCGAAGATATAAGAAAGAGCGAATATATATTCGAATATAAGAAAAGCATATCATTAGACAAAGTAATAATGAATGTAATTTACTCGTATGTCGTTGCTAAATAGATGCCTCTGCCATAAGGGGCTAATTCTTTAGCGCATAAAGTTTGAATGTGAACATAACATTTCATTCATATGCATATTTTAAGTATGTAAGTAACCGTGGACCCGGCAGACGTCGTCCAATGTGTATATATGTAAAACAGGAAGGAATAAATAAATATATATACACAAATACAATTTCAACACAAAGACACGAATAACATGAATGATCTCGTTGAGTAAATAATTACACAAAAGTAACAAATTGAAAATGGAATTCAAAAATCATTCAACAAATTATAAAATTTTAAGTGTCAGAAATAATGTCATAACATGAAATAGAAAGTCCTCATCGCAAGCGCACACGCAGCTCATCTATCAATTGGAAAAAATATCGAAACACATCAATGTTACTCGTATATGTAATCTTTGTATTGCTCTCGGATATAATGAACTATTATAAAGATTCATGACTCCAAAATATTTGATAGCAGACGCAACATACATACGCCTAAAGTTCATTTAGCTCACGTGATTGATGGGTCTGTTTCTTTCATTCTTTTCTGGCGAAGTAGAAATAAAATATAACCTTATGTTCTGTTGGCTTGGGAACAATGATAAACTGCTTTAAAAAAATCTGTGGAATAAAAAAAGTTTAAGATTAATTCACTTGTTACATCACCACCTATGATTCAATTTTCACACCATAATATTACAACTAAAACATAAGTACATTTTCACCTGTCAATGTACTCCCCTAACATTAGTTTATTTAGTGATCACCTGACTGTTTAGTCTTCCAAACCCTGTAAATAGTTTTCCACAAACGCTACTCTAACAACATGTATAAGTTATGTCAATTTTAAATTATTTGCTTTTCAAAGAATGGTCGCCCAACAGTGGGACGGTGGAGAGTCGTGATAAGAAACAATATAAACGTATATAAGTTTATACGGGGACGCCAATTAAATATATAAATAACAATTTGCTAAAATATTTATGGTAATTTTATGCA